ACGCCAGAGACAGCTTCACATTCGTTTACATTTCATCTTTCGCTCCCATGCAATGCTATGCATGAAGAAAAACAGTCCATGGAATCTGACTTCAAGAAAATGATGGATATTGATAGAAACTCCTTGAATAGTTAACCCCGTGCAACCATCATAGCATTACTATATTGTAATCCATTAGCAATATAATTATTATGGCATGTGGCATTTGCATTGGGGCAGACGTAGATATTTATCTGCTCTTTAGAAATTCGTTCAAGGATCTTTTTTAGCTTAGTATTTCTTTCAGTAAAGGGAATACCGTAACTGAAAAATGGCTAATTTGTTTGCTGTTTAATTACCAATTTTTATGTCCCAAACCTACTTTATTGTATGCAGGATAATGCAATATATTTCTATAATAACGACAGAAAGCTAAGGATGTTAAATTCGAAAATTTTATGTTTAAGTACAAAATAAGTTTTCTAAAACAATAGTTGTGTCTTTTTCAAATGGCAGTGCCAGCAAGTTTTTTTCTTTCAAAACATAAACATATAGTATTTGGGTAAACAGTAGTGTAATAGGTTTCTGGTTCGTATTTTCTAGTTGAACATTATCGTGAGTCACGTTGGCAGTTGAATGGATAGTCACTAATTTGTTCGACCTTCCAAGCTCTGACGAAGGCAATAGCGCCGAAACGTTGGTCGTCAGTAAAGAAGAGTTAATATTTTGATATATGCTCAACAAGTCAAAAGAACACCGTAATAATGCATAAATGAATAGAACTGCAGTTTGAAAACCAGCTGATTACAACTGCTACAGCTATACTTTTGCAGTTTTGAGCTAAACTAATACATGGCAGAATTTTGATAAAGTTCTTCCGTGAACGTTTGAATCTTAGACATTGCTGATAAAAGTGGTTAATCAGCGCAAAAACCTTTACGGGTCCATGATCTGGCAATACACTATATTTGTACACCTACTATGACTCCATTAAGCTTACTGCACACTTACTGTAAGCCCACAATAAGGTCCTACCGACTGAAGCTGGTATGTTATTCGTGCTCAGTGTGGCGGGTAACTTGTGTGGAGTTTCAACGTAATTTGAATTTTGACATTTTGGGTAAAAATTATCGCATAGCTCATTCTGCATTCCTCATTCATTCTGCAGTTAGTATGCGTGACGCCACCGATCGGTAATGTTCGATATTT